TGCTGAAACCTCTAGACCCACTTCTCAGACCCCTTCCTATGTAGATGAACATTTTGAGACAGAGTCTCATTAACCCGGGCTGGCCTTGAACTCACTAGTTAGCCAAGGATGGCTTTAAACTTCAGACCTTGTGGCTGCTGGGATCACAGGTGTATGCCACCATGTCCAGCTAGTCCTCCTTAAGGGAATGGGACATATCACATGTGTTATGAAAGTCAGCTTTCATCCATGTGAGCAGGCTGTCAGTTCCTGGGCATTTGAACTCTTCTAACTTAATTCCTATTGCTTGACATTTTGTCAGTTCCGAGGAACCCCTGATGGCTGGTACCCATACAGAAAGTTGAGGAACATGAGTCAGGCAGGCAACGGTCGTAGGATGGAGGGGTGGTCACTTTAGGCTGAAGGAACGGCCTGCACACTGCACAGGACGGGGAGAGTGTGGCCCTTTGGGCAGCAGAAGGATATACAGCAAAGCTGGGTCTTGCAGAGTGAAGGGTGATGGAGGAGTGGAGGGCATAAGAGGAAACTTACTGTAATAGCCTCCCGTTGATGCCATGGGGCGTAATTTACCAAATTATCTGTAAATAATTCTAGCCAGGGAAAGCTAAAGACAAAAGATGCTTCTGAAACCTGTCAACAAACAGTCCTTTAGGTGGCTTCCATACCATGGTTTTTGCCTCTATGTGTGTGTACACGTGTGCATGTTCATGTGTGTGTGCATGTTCATGTGTGTGTGCATGTTCATGTGTGTGGGTATGTGTTCCTGTGTGTGGAGACCAGAGGTTGACATCAGCTGCCCTCCTTGAACACCCTCTAACCTACATATTGAGGTGCAGTGTCTGTCATTTGAATCCACAGTTCCCTGATTCAGCTAGTCTAGCGAGCCAGCTGGTGAGGGAGCCCATCTCTAAATCCTGAGTGCTGGGGTGACAGGCTTTCAGTGGGGTGCGGGGGGTCCTGAACTCTGGTCCTCACATTTGCAGGGCAAGCGCTTTAGCCATCTCCCTAGCCCCACATGTTGATTTTCATCACCTTGAGTCTAATGCTGTGCTGGCCCAGCACGTGCATGATGTCAGGCCAGTTGTTCGTGTCTTTTCAGTGATGTTCCCCTTGGTAGCTTCAGGCAGCAAATGCTGCAGATCAGGAGTTAGTTTTTAATGGGAGCCAGTTCTTTTAGCCCATCACTAAATAGCACCGAGTAAAAGGGAAGATGTCTAAATGAATGTCCCAGCTGCTGGCGCGGGACCTACCTGAGCACCAAACCTCTTTGTCAGTGTTAGTCAGTGTGAACTTGGAAATCAGAAGGAACAAGATTGGAATCCTGCCACTTTTTAGTAACGTTTTTAATGGCTGTTCCTCGGTGTGCTCATTTAAGATGAGAGCCACTGCTATTTAACTTAGAAGATGGTTACAGATGTTAATCTTTGAGAGACAAAATTTACAATGAAGTTATGACTGTGTTCAAGTGAAAGGGAGAATTGAGTTGATTTTTTTTTTAAATACGTAAGTTCTGAGTTTCTGTGGCTATCTTTAGGTAGTCGCCTCTAATAGTAGTTGACACGATTGAGTGTTAACTGTGTGCATCACATGCATTATTTCACTTATTCCACAAAAGAGCTGCATGGGTAGAGACTAGTGATGTGATGGCCCTGTTCTATGGGCCAGAGACATCCATAAGTACAGAAATGGGGTCTGGAATGTGTGTGTGAGTTCCAAGTCTGCTTTCTTTCCTATATGCACACAGGGCAGTTCTTCACTCAGCAAAGACTCTGAGCTGATGGGATCCACTTGAGTCCGCTGAGTGGTTCCTCTCTTGGGTGTGTTGGGGTCACCCTGAAGGATCTGTAGAGTGGGCAGAGTGGAGGCCAAGGGTACAACCTTGGCCAGTACCAATGTTTGAATGCAAGGTAAAGAGGGGAAATCACAAAAGGTAAGAACTGTGAACGACGTCTTGAATTTGACAATGTGAAAAACATTGGTAGGCTTAATAAAAACAGTTTGGATAAAATAATGGAGGCAGAGGCCAGATTGATTGAGCTAAGGGAATTGATGAGGAAGTAGAAATAACTAATGTGAACTGTTATATGGAAGGAGAGAAGTAACTTGAAATCTGGCGAGATATTTAAGAATGTGTGTGTGTGTTTGTGTGTGTGTGTGTGTGTGTGTGTGTGTGTGTGTGTGTGTGTGTGTGTGTGTTGGGACAAAATAGTTAAAGCTGAAGGTACAGGAATGATTGAAGGATCCAGGTCCTTAAGGAGGCAGGAGGGGTGGGATCAAAGCCTGGCAGAATGATAACCGGCTGACTCCCAGCTTTGGGTCACACAGGTTGAGTGTGAAGGCCAGGCGGCAGAGAACTGAAGCTAACTGCTGCAGAACTGAGATGGTACCCTTGCCCTCTCCTGAGCTCACTCCATAGAGTGGAACCCCAACACACCCAAGACTTTAACTACTCAGCATGACGACTCAGGAAGACTAAAGGCATGCCACTATAGGCTCTAGGTAGGTAGAAGATAGGTAAAACCAGGAGGCTATTCACACACTGAGAGGATGCAGAGTGGTCAGGGCACTGTGGGTCTCAAGGATGTTGAAGGAACTGGTGGGTAAGTGAATAGAGTTGAGAGAGTAGGGAGTTGCCATAGTAGCCTGACTTTGGAGTCTCCACATTAAACAGTTCATATGCAGAGAATCCTGGGTACTTGGCAAAAGCCTTGATGCAGCTACTGAAGGTCTGGTTTTGAAGCAGATTAAAAGTGAAGATTGTCATCCCTAGGCTGTCAAGGGATCCAAAGCATAGAACTGGGGCTGAGACCTCACACAGATAGCTTTTTTAGTTTGCATCTAACAAGGCTAGGTCTTTTTTATAACAGTTGGTTAATAATTTATGTCTGAAGCGCTCTCTGCCAATTATCACAGGAGCATCCTTGCTTAATGACTTGTGTTTGCTTGCTTCTTGTGTATGCCTGTGTAGCCAGAAGTCTACCTTGGGTACCATTCCACAGGTGCTGTCCGCCTTGCCTTTTTGAGACAGGATCTCTCAACAGTTCTGGAGCTCACCAATTAGGCCAGGCTGGCTGGCTTAATGAGCCCCAGAGATGTACCTGTCTGCCTCCCCTTCACTGCTATTACAAACCTGTGCCACCATGCCTGGCTTTCATATTTCTTGGTTAGTACCTCAGAAGTCTAATACTTTATTTTTTTTTTCTTTTTGAGACAGGTCTCACACAATGTAGCCCTGGCTGGCCTAGAACTTGCTATGTAGACCAGGCTGTCCAGGAGCTGACAGAGATCCATTGCCTCTGCCTCTTGAGTGCTAGGATTAAAGACATGAGCCACCCTGCTGTCCTGATGCTACCTTTAACTTGCCCTCATGATTCCCTTCCTGGGATTGGTAGAGGAAAGAGATAAAAGGTTCATTTCTTCTCCCTCCAGGTTATGGACAGCTTACATGTAGAAAAGTATGTTAGTAATGGTAACTGCCATTTGTTAAGACTTACTCCATGCTAGCCACTGTGCTAAGCATTTTATGTAGATTATCTCTTTCTAGCCTTATATTAACTCCCTAAGATTAGTCCCATTCCTGTCTCTATTTTATAGATGAGAAGTCTGAAGATTTGCAAGGTCAGCCCCCTTGCCCAAGGTCACTCAGCCTGTGAGTGATGGAACCAATACTGAAATCCATGCAGTATACCACTAGAACACAAGATCCTAACTGCAAAATGCTGCCTCATGTCAGAAGCCAATGTGTTCGTGTTAGTGAATGAAGGAGTAGCTTCTCTCCCGACCCCTCACCCAGAGACTCACCACTAGAACTGGGTGTCCATCTTCCCATTGCTCGTCATCAGCCCACAGCTCCCAAGCAAAGTCCAATGACTCCTGAGCATGCTGTTACTCTGCACAGCACTACTTTCCCAGGACAGTAGCATCCTTCACTGTCACTGGCCCTTGGTCTTTGGGGGGGGGGGGGTCACTCACACACAGTCCTGTGATGGAACTTTCGGACTCCTATGCGAGGGAGTTAGGCTTAATGTGCAAATCTTAATTCTAGATGTCCAGAAAAGTAACATAGGATTAGTAAGTGAAGGGGAAAAAAGCATTTCTTTTGAATGATAAAAATGAGTTACCCGGCAAGGAGCTTGAAAATCATGTTACTTTGGTTCTAAATTAACTTATTTGCTGAAAGCTATTTTCAGGAAACGATATTCTTCACTTATCCTGTGCTCACCCCACTTCACCTTCCGTCAATAAACAGCAGCATGTTAACTGAGGTCCCATTCCTGGGTGACCTGCTGCATATGCAGAAGATGCTCGTGAAAGAAAACAGATGTGCAGAGATTTAACAAATGCAGAGTGGGAATTTCTTCCTGTTTACGGACCAGATGAAAACTGGTTTTGAGCCTTCTCTGCAAGAGTGAAACAATGTTGCACCTTTTCTTGCAAGATTAAGACACGGAAACAGTTGTGGTTTACACCATATGTTATAGATGCCTGAACAGTATCAGTTTATATCAAGTCGCTGGCCCGTGGCCCTCCTCCTCCACTGCCTCCTCCCCCGACCCCCACCCACCCCCCACCACCTCTGCTGATAGGAAGCTCACCTGGCAAGTCACCTTGCAGTGGCCCATTAAAATATTGGGAAGGGTTTACCTTACTCTTGAGGAAGAAGGGACTTGAGGCCACAGGGCTGATAGCCAAACACAGCTCCCATATGTAACTTAAATGAAGCCAGGAAGTTGTTTTCTAACCACGGTTTTGTTGTTGTTGTTGTTGTTGAGGCCTAGGTGTTAACACCCAGGTTGAACCAAAACCAAGTGTTGAGAATGAGAGGGTGAGGGGTCTAATTGCAGAGGGGCCGGGGAATAGAGCGCGGCCTTCAGTCTGGAAGGCTTGTGTCCCAGGCAGTGTTATCACCGACACCCAAGCTGGGTTGTAATTGTATCCATTCATCTCCTAATGGCCTTGTGTCCATCTCCTAATGACCTTGTATCCATTCATCTCCCTAGAACTTCTCTCCATGTGGTCTCCTGGAGCCCCAACCGGAAGTGTGAGATCAAAGCTGTCTTCACACTCTAGGACACTGTCTGCCCTGCTCCCCTCTGTTGACATTGGCACTGATGGCACAAAGGTGGCGGTGGGTAACATGAATTACTTCGAGAAGCAGCACCAGGCTACAGTAGTGATCATTACGTTCTCACCACCTTGCTGGCAGTGTGTTTCACATAAAAATATGCTGGTGAAGCAACACAGATTATTAAATCTCAGTCCTCACTGTACATCTTCCCAACAGTCTGGGCAATGTCCATAGGCCATTTCCATCACATACGAAACCTGATCCTTTGCACAGTGGCTGTGTGAGATCTGAACTGGCCACTATTTTAATGGACCATTGTTTTCATTTGTAAGAGTGACTGACGCACAAACTACTGTTATTCCGAGTGTGGTATTTGGTCGGCATTTTCTCAGAAATGATTGACGCGAACCTGTCATTTCAACGAAAACAGCCGGCACTGTTTGTTGCCAATGATGGAATTTGAGCCTTCGAGTGAAAATGAGAATTTGGGAACTTTGTGCACACCCTGGAGAGTCTGACAGTTTCTCAATAGACTTTTGTGATGAGTTCAGCGCTGCTATTAACAGATATGATTTTTATATTGTATAATGGAATGTGTTAACATTTCCAAGAGCTATATGTCAGTGAATTAATATTTTTTGATGACCAGTATAGTATGCTTAGGTGAAGGAGCCATTGAGATCCCTAGACGCCCCAGTATGCTTTCCTGGAGTAAAAACATGCAAGTTTCATTGATACTCATCAAAAGTCTACATTGTGGCTGGCTTTGAAGAAAATACCACTTATTGGGCTTCAGTGTACTGTAAACCTGTGTGTGTTTGTGTGGTGTGTGTGGGGGGCATATGCGTGTGTGCACATGGGGGTACACATGTCTGTGCACACATGTTCAGATGACAAAGAAGGGTGTCAGGTATACTGCTCTCTCGCCCTCCACCTTATTCCTCTGAGACCGGGTCTTTCAGTGAGCATGGAGTGAGCCCCAGTAATCCCCCTGTCTCCACACTCTCCCTCCACCACTGGTATGACACATGGTAGCCGTGCTCAGTCATTTACTTGGGTGCTATGGGTCTTGAACTCATATCCTCACGCTTGCGTGACCAACACTTTACCCACTTAGCCACCTACTCAGTCCTAGCGTACAGTGATTTTAGAAGGAATGACTTTGATCAGCTGACATGACTATTGGAATTGTTCCTCTCTTTTTCACCTCCATAACAGCAGGAGGCCAAACTTTTCTTTATGTCCCAAACCATATCTCCTCAAAGGGAATTCAAAAGGATCCGTGCAAGCCAAGCTATAGCTTATTGTGTGATATATTTCAAAGACTTGCAAAAGTATAAAATCATGATAGGTTTTTCACTATTGTGTGGTTGAAATAAGTTTTCATAAAAGCATGTTAAAATGTAGTGGATTTACTGTTGGTATTTTAAAATGAATTAATTTTTAAACACTTTCTCAGTTTTAGTGATTGTTTCTAGCATGGTATTAATGGGTATGACCTACATCAACAAAAGCTTATCGGGTTCTCAGTTTTAAGAGCATAAAGGAATCCTGAAGGCACAAATTGAGAACCACTGCCTAGAGAGTTCCCAGCATGCACTGGTCCCAGAACAGTGCATAGCATGGGGTATTGATCAATTGTGGACCTTGCCCATGGAGCCAGTAGTTACTTACAATTAAATGGGCAGGAGAGAAGGCTCAGTGGCTCAAAGTACTTATGACAGACAGCTTACAAACACCTGCAACTCCAGCTCCAGGGGCACCAGCATGCTTGTAACACATACACACATAAGAAGAAAAATCTTTTTAAACAATTAAGCCATGAAAGCACACGGTCTTCTAACAAGCCTGACATCCATGCAGCATTTGAAAGGCAAGTGTATTATGGGAATTCTGTGACCGGTCCTCTAGTCAATGGAAAGGAGCATTTGGGTCCAAGAGGTTGAGTTTGCTTTGGGATTGGACGCGACCCAAATGCATGGCAGGGCCGAGGGATGCATGTCTTTTTGGAATGAGGAAGGAGAGTGGAGCAGCAGGTGATTAGCATTTCCCATTCTGTCTTATGGTAACTGTACATGGATTTTGCTTGTTAATAAATGTAAAATAATCTTTTGAAAAAAATTAAGCCATTAATTTTCACAAAATATAAGAACTGCTGGGACAGACACACAGGTGAATGCAGGGAGCCTGGCCTGATAGAGGGGGGGTTTCCAAGCAGACTGATGGCTCTGCTGATTCTTGAAGAATGCCTAAGAGTTTATCCAGGCAGAGAATAGAGAATTGTTCCTCTGTGTATATCGAACAAGTGTGTGCCAAGTGTCCACGTGAGCCGTCTTCTTTAAATACATCTTCACTGCAGAAGTAAGAGAAAGGCAGTGTAGCAAGAGTCCAGGGTGAAGTGGGAATGGTGTGGCATGAAGCTAGACTACCATGACAGCAGCAAAACCAGGAAGGGCCTAGCAAGATCAGGAGTTCGAACCTCCTCTTTGAAGATGGGGGCATAGTAAGGCAAGAGCAGAGCGTTTGCTCTCCTTTTAGACTGCGAAGAATGGGAGACACACTAGAATTCATTGCAATAAACTGATATAGAGAATAGAACTTAGACTACGGTGTGGCTAGAGAATTGGAGAGATGTGGGTTGATTCCAAAAATATTGATGTAGAGAAATGCATAGATTCATGTCATTAGATTAAGTGTAGTTAAAGAGGGAATTGTGGGCATCAGGGTTGAACCTAGATTCCAGATTTAGCACCAGCAGTGATGTTATTTTCACTGACAAAGAGAGCCCAGAAAGTGCAGGCTTAGAGAACAGGAAGCAGAATGTCTCTTCCTACAGGCTGCTCAGGAGGACCTGCCCTGTGTCATTTGCATTGTGTGGTTCTGAAGTTAAGAAGAAACACCTGTATTGGAGCCATAGCATTGAGAGTCCTCGGCATGTAAATAGTAACTGACTCCACGGGCCTAATGAGCTCTTAGGATAAGGATCTGAACAAGAGGAGCCAACTGACGGGGAAGGAAGTCATGGCAGTTGCAGCATTTAAGGAATAAACAAAGAAATGATGCAGTGCTCCTGCATACAGATTTAAGAAAACCCAGAGACCATGTGGTTGTTGAGCAGAGGTAATAATGTCCAGAAGGAGGGGAAGAGGCCAGTGGTGAAGGGAGCTGTTGAATCAACACAATGAGGATTCAGAAGGAGGCAATTGTTGAATCATTAGTTGTCTCCACATAGTGGAGTGGAGTGATCAGCTCTGACAGTTTAAAGAGTGAGGCAAGAAGAGGGAAAAAATGTTAAGAGGGAGACAACAAAAAGAGATATAAGGAGGCTGGTTTCAGAATGCTGTAACTCTATAGGAAGGACCAGTAGAATAGAGTGTGTGTGTGTGTGTGTGTGTGTGTGTGTGTGTGTGTGTGTGTGTGTG